TAGCCGTGTGTATATACAATAAGCCTATTTTTTCTGTGGATGTCGAAAGAGGCGACTAATGTAACTTCATGATAGAGAAATGGGCAGCAGCATTAATCTTAAAACATCTCTAAAAGCCTAACTGTTGTTGCCAAGCGTGGCAACTACTGGCAAAACCTCCCTCATAAGGGAGGCTTATGTTCAACAGTGGGCAGTTAACAGCTAAAATGATGATGATGATTTATGTAAATAGATAAGTAAGTAAATAATAACATTTGATATTATATCTACTTACGCAGTTGCGGTTGACTCATCTAATAATTACTCAGCAAACTTGTATACATATAATAATATATACATATTATCCGGTCACGTTAGTATGTAAGTTTGCTCAACAATTACATATATTTATTTTGCCATGTGATATCATAGTAATTTATAGCTCTCTTTAATCAACAGAGTTACTGCTCGTATACATTTTGAATTGTTACCTCTGCTTTTTATATGTTTATCATTAAAATATGTAAATTATTTGAACAAGTAAATTATGTTCCAAAAAAAGAACACTGATTTCAATCTTGTCAAAACCAGTCATTTCGATTTAAAAACCAATCTACTTAACCGATTCTGATAAAATTTCTATAAAACATTCCATTAACCAATTTAAAAGTGCATATCCTAAAAAACAATTTGCCAAATCCGAGATAACAAACAAAAAACACAACCAAATTAATAACCTCCTTTTTTTGAAAACGGTTAAAAGAAGTCACTGTAACAGCAACACGTTTAATTCATCAGATATATATTATAAATACTTGTTTCCTCTATAAATTATATTTTTCATTCTGAAATCTCATAATACAGGCATAATATACAAAGAAGATTAAAGAGCCCTCTTTATACTATACATTTATGTATTTATTCATTAGAACATGTATATATTCATTAATGTTAAATTACATACAAGTCTAAGGACACTGTGATACGTATATATATAATGCTCATAGTATTTTTTCTTTTTTTTATGCAACTTAGAATAGCAAACAAGCTGACGGGCCACCTGATGGAAAGTGGTAATCGTCGTCTATGAACATGAGCAGTACCACGGACAATAGAGTATACTGTTTCGCCCATGTTACCTCCATGCGTTGCCATTACTGAGGACTCTGGTGTAATTCATCTGTACCCTGTACATTCACTGCCATATTTCACCCATCAAACCGAAACACAGCCATGCAAATACAACTGCTTCACGGTAGAAACACGAATGGGACAGAGGTGTCCAAGCAAACGACTTTTGCACAATGTCTCCCTCGGGTATATACATATACTTTTTTTCAATAGGTGATAATGAAATGGTAACCCCGCCTGCGCTATCGGTGGTGGTGGTATGCTGGTGGGGCACCAGTAAGGGATAATAGGTAACAGTGAATACCGATCCGTCAGTCCATTGTGACGAATTCTAGTAGAAATAACGACGATAGTTCCCAGGAGGAACCGTGCGTAGATCTACCTGATAGGGTGTTTTGCTAGTAATGGGGAAAGTTAGACTCATTACTAACAATCACTTTCCCCCATAAGTATACGTTATTAGCATTATATTGCATGTATAAAAATACATGTAATTACTTAAATAAAATGCTTGCTGTTATTATTTTAAAAATATACTATAGAAATGTGTTTACACCACTTATTATCTATGATTTCTAATTGAGACTCAGTTATCGTGGCTGCGATATATCTGAGTAAACTCGTAATTTAGATATGTTCTAGCCATAATAATCAAAGTAAGTAGTTATCTTAATGATCGCTAATAAAATTAAAAACATTAATTTGCCATTTTCTTTTTTTTATACAACTTAGAATGGCAAACAAGCTGACGGCCCACCTGATGGAAAGTGGTAACCGTCGTCTATAGACATGAGCAGTACCATGCACATAACAGAGTATACTGTTTCGCTCATGATACCTCCCATGCGTTGCCATTATTTATATTGTTACAAATTATTCAGACCAAAGATGTAGAAAAGACGAGCTTAACTCTGTAAGAGTTCTCTTCCAGCAAACTAATTGGAAAGGCTGATCTCGTATGTCTGTAGCGTCTGTAAATATTAAATATTGTAACAATTTTTAGATCGTTTTTTTACGCATACACATTACGCTTTCATATACATATATACGTACTTACCTGTCACGCTTTTCGTCCATTGGGGTAGGCAAAATCAATGGAACCCCAAATGGTTCGATTTAAAGAGACTCCATTCAATTCCTCCACACTCATCAACCTTTTCATACATGCTCGCCGGTTACTGATACTTTTAATTCGACCCTTCTTGGACGTCACCTGTTTGGTCGGCATATGTCCACCTGGGACTGTCCTTATCGACATATCTATTCATTCGTGTTCAATAAATATCATTTATCATTTTCGTTAATTGAGGTCTTGAGATCTTTGCGATGTGGTTCCGGCATAGAAAGGCCCACCCCTTTTTTTCCGTGTATGTTTTAAAAGGCAACTAAGGGAACTTTATGGTCGATGGATAAGCTGCAACGTCCCTTTTAAAACATCACCAAAGTTTAATTGTAGTTGCCAACCCGCTTAAAAAGCGTGACAACTACTGGCAAAACATCTCTTTTAGGCCTATGTTCAGCAGTGGACAGTTAGTTAACGGCAGGTAAAGGGTAACATATATGAAGATCTTGAGAGATGAACAACTTTATATAAATATAGTTCCTATTTCAAAATCTAAATCTACTACCACTGTCTCCCGTTCTCTTTAGAATATTGAGAAATCGTTTCTCAGCACCTCTCATAGTGTCCTCAAAAAGCCCCTTTTACCCAAAATTTCTTGTTCCTACATCAATTAATGTAAAGTTTTATTAAGCAGTTTGTTTAGCCCGCCTGAACGAATGGATTGTAATAAACTCACAAACTGTAGACATAGGTCTAAAATATACAAAAATTAAATAACAATTATTGTCTTGTATACTTCCGTTCTCTTATCTCCCCCTCTTATATGATAAATTACTTCCATGTCGTAAAATTTTGTGTGGAATAGAAATATAAATAAATAAATAACTCTTAATTATATATCAATATTGATATAGGTTACTGGAATGCTTCTTTTAAATAATTTAAGTACGTAAATTCAAGTAGTATTCAGGTTTGTGGTCAATCCCAATTGAATGTAACAAAAAAACGCTCTCTAAATGGCCAGGTGTAGTAATAATAACAATAATTGCCATGTGGTCCCGGCATAGAATAGGCCACCCCTTCCTTTCTTGTGGGTGTCGTAAACGGCGACTAAGGGAACTTATTGTTTCAGTAATAGGCAGCAGCGTCCCTCTTAAAACATCTTTAAAAGACTTAACTATGGTTGCCAACCTACCTTCCAAGCGTGGCAACTACGGGCAAAAGTACCCATATGGGGAAAGGTTATATTCAGCAATGGACAGTTAACGGCGGAAATGACGATGATGGCACCCGGGTCTTTGCATTTGTTTCCGATCTATAAAGGATGTAAAGGACGGAACGTGATTTGGTCACATTTTCCCTTTGTTTTCATACAATGTTCCCAAGAATTGCAGACGTACGTAGATAAGATTAGCCAATACCCGCTCATTGAAGTGCAAAACTATTTTAAGCAGATAATAGATACTTGAATTGAACCAGATTTTCTAGGAAGTCTTAAGAAATAAATCATAAGACGCATTTGTCAATGTACAAATATACATGTATTATTTATTTGTGTTATAATGTATATAGAAAAATATAACATTTTCTGTTAACTACAAATTTAATGTTATATATTATATTTACACATAGGTCTTTAACCCGTATCGTAATCGTTGATAATGAAACGTAGTAACCTTGAAATGTATAGTTTTCGTTCGTTAACCGAATGCTAACTGGGCGCCAGCTAACGGTTTCAATTCGTACCATAATCCACGGTATACGTAGCCCATAGATGGAAACCACCTATACGGCATGTCAATATCCTGATACTGATGAAACTTGGCTTATTATAATAATATTAGTCAGACAACTTAAGGCTCATTTTGTTACTTATAATTTACTTAACCTATGTTAGTAAATGAGCGGTCAAGACACTCTTACATTGATAACCTTAGGATGGGACAGTCCATTTTACCGGCAATTGTCTTCAGAACACTGTTTGAGTTTACACGTACTCTGCCTAATAGCGAATCAATTCTTTTGCACCGTATTGCTTAAAAGTCATCAGTACGCTCTCGTACAAACATGTATGGCGACGAGGTAGCCCTAACAGTGCCCTGAAGGCATTATTATATTGGACTAGAAGAGCATTGTAAGTCTTTTAATTATAGATAGACCTACAAGCTAATGCTACCTTTGTCACATTTTATATCTCCGCCGTATATTCTTTCTTATAGGCGTATATGTATGAATTTTTTTTTTGGCATCAATAGTGCGGATGTCGACCTGATGAGACAAATTGCTAGCAATGGGGACGCTAAACTCATAACTAACAATCCCCCATACCCTATCGTATGTGTAGCAGAATTTTCTCGACTTTAAATGCACAATAATAGACACATTGCTTTACGCGAATATGAAACTAGATTTGCTGCTGGTTAAAGTCAGAAAGTCATCTCGCAAGTTATTTCATATCTTTGTGTTCTTCGATTTTTGAATAAGCAAAGCATTCTACCTTTTAGATTAGGCAAATTTAATTTACGTATTATTTTGTGTCTATACTTCGAGATCAAGTAATACATTTTACAAAAACATGTTGCGGGTAATATTTATTTTTATCCTTAATCCTTTTGCAATAAGTATTAAATCACATTAAAAATATCTTACGAAATTGTACCAAATTATTTAAATTAACACAATTTTTTACGTTTATAATACTTGTGAGTTACATACAAGCAGACCTTTGGAATCAGAGGCCCGAAGCCAGAAGGCTTAATTAAAAAACAGATGTGATCGGTCGTATTTCCTACGACTCCCATTCACTTCTTCACTCTTTTGTTCACAGGCCATGGTAGCGTGTTACCCTGGCTCCGGTAGCCATTATGTAAAACACGTGGATAACCCAAATAAGGACGGACGGTGCATCACAGCCATATACTACCTCAACCGAAACTGGGATGTGAATCGGTGTGGAGGATTACTCAGGTGAGTGACGAATTTGAATCTTACGCCCTTAATATTACCGATGAAAGTTAAAGGCATTTAAGATTTCTTTTCGAATTTGCCTGGCCAATCTCTAAACAAAGACAGGTACAAACGTACTTAAATAAGGGGATTTATTACAGAAAAGAAAAAAAAAATAGAAAATACACTAAAAAGGGGAACAATGTTTCTGCCCAATAAGCAGCTGTACTTACCTGTTTGGGTTTCAGTTTTAGGGTGGTACATTTAACAGTGAAATTACTGAATACATTAATCTTTAGAAATGGCAACACATAATGGGTACCATGGGCACCACAATGTAGTCTGTATTGTTCTTATACTTAAGATTTTTTTGTAGAATTATTCATCCGGTCAGTTGTAAAATTTCTAAATCCTACCAGCATGACAACTTTATTAGTGTGTTTTTCTAGTATTTTCCTCGTCTATTCTTCCCTAGCAATCGTTAAGTCACGTCATTTCTATGTATTGTTCATGTTTATATTTATTTGTTTGTATATTTGAGATGGTCTCGGCTTGTATGTCTGTTTGTATTGGTCAGAGTGTTTTTTTATATATAATATTAAGTATGTACTAAAAAGTAAGAATGTTTATTAGTTGTCTAGTATCTATATTACGCTCTGCATGCTCTGCTTAGTTTAGGGCTAGACGGCGCTGCGTAATACTTTCAGTGGTATTTATTTATATACTGTTTGATTTTAACTTTTCTGTCTCTATCAGAAATCTTTTATTCATATAAACCGATGATTTATTATCTCATCGCTTGTCTTCTAAGCGAATTGATTACAATATAAGGGCACTTGAACTCAGACGGCGGAGCAGAAAGTACGTCTGAAGTTTTTACTATCACAAAATTATAAAGTCGCCGCGGACGCTATAAAAATGCAAATAGTATACAAAAGCTACAAGACACTGTTATTGCACGCTGTCAAACCAGTTGGGGTCAGCACATACCAAACGGAAAAATCCTCTTTAACGTCACTGAATAAAGAACTGTAACTGTATAGCCTTTAAGTATAAAGTTGAAAGCAACTGCCGAACGAGCATACGCAGTGAATGCTTGTTGTTTGTCTCGAATTTTATATTTAAAGTCAATAGTGATACGGTTTTTTATTCAGTGACATAAAAAAGGGCGCGAGGATTTTCCGTTTGGTATGTGCTGATTTTTATATGAAAACAATATTTAAGCGAATGGGTAGGCTAAAACAGCACTAGGTAACTTTCAGTTATGGGGTTGTGCTATAAAAGTTTTATAGGATCTTTTGTCCTTTACTCCTTAAGATATGGCTACCTGTAAATGGCTAGCTCATACTCGTGAAATAGTGCTACCTGCTTATAAGAACTGGTGTACTCTAGTCGCTGTTTTGAATTTCTCTTTGATCTCAGTTAAAAAAATATCACAATCAATTATTTTGCAAAGTTTAATGTCTATTCTACTCAAGCAGGTAAAGAAAAAAAAGGTCCCATTCCTTTTCAAGGAACATTCACCTTCTCTGGTTAGTAGTCATTGTCTGATGGTGAATCATAACTAAATTACTCTTAACAACTATAGTAGTTCAATTTTGTACTTTAATTACATATAGTTACGTATAGACTCTACATTAAAGAGCATATATTACAAAAAATATCTTTAAAACACCAAAAGTGAGTGTAAAACAATGATCAGTAGGTGCATATTGCTTTGGCAAAATTCGAACTGGAGAAAACAATAGAAGCTTTGCCGCCTTTTGAATTCTCTTTTACTTACTACGATCTCATAAACTGGTATTTATGAAATTATGAATTTCGTCTTTATATTGATGACGTTAAGGTTAAAATTAGATGGTATTTTTTTTTTTATAATACACTAATAAATGTTAGACATCGAGAGTTGACTCCTTAGATGCATTTAAGGGGCTATTAACCAACTTGGTTGGCAAAATTAACTTTAACAGCAAGAGACATTTGGATGAAGAGGAGTATAATATAAGAATAGATGTTGATAGTCGATCATCATCATGATTATGTCATGTCGGCTGTTAACTGTCCGCTGCTGATATAGGCATTCCTGTAAAGGGAGGTTTCGCCTGTAGTTGCCACGGTTGGAAGGCGGATTGGCAACCGCATTTATGGTTTGGTGATATTTTAAGAGACGCTGCTGCCCATCCCTCGGCTATTGAATTCCCTTAGTCATCTCTTATGACACCCGCTGGAAAAGAAGAGGTATTTGGCGACCTATTCTAATGGGCAACAGCGTCCCTCTTAAAATATTTCCAAAGCTTAACTGGAGTTGCCAATCTGTTTGCCAAGTGTGTCAACTACTGGCAAAACCCTCCTAGGAGGAAGCTTATGTTCAGCAGTAGACAGTTAAAAGCTGATTAAATAATGGTGATTATAATTTAAATAAATGAATATTTAGTTTAAAATAAATATTGTTTTACATTCCAGGGTATTTCCTGAAGGTACAAATCAAGTAGCGGATATAGCGCCTATCTTTGACAGAATGCTGTTCTTCTGGTCGGATAGGCGGAATCCTCACGAGGTGCAGCCTGCATATCAAACCAGGTAATGATCTCATGACACGTATATTGTACAACTAGGTGTGACCGGCTGCTATGCTCGCCTAAATTAAAACTAAAACTGTTATTTTATGTGATAATTTGGCATAGAGGTAGACTATGTACAAAAGTCGTTTGCTGGGATACCTCTGTCCCATTCGTATTTCAACCGTAAAGCAGTTGTGTTTGCATGGCTATGTTTCATGTATGGCTATGTTATGTACAGAGAAATAACACCTGAGTCCTCAGGAATGACAACACATGGAGGGTATCATGGGTGAAACCGAATACTTTGTTACGTCCATGATATGAGACCGTCAGCTTGCTTGCCATTCTAAGTTGCAAAAAAAAAAGATTCATTTATGTGTATAAAATTTTATTCAAATCGCTCTATGATAACAAATATCTTTAAAAATTTTCACATATATGTCAGGATGGAAAATTTCACATATTTTGGATACACTTTCGATCGCAAGTGCTATCTTTGATTTTAGTAACTAACGATGAGAGCGAGTTTTTTTTTTTTATTAGTTATTTTCATTTTTAATTACCTCGTGACGTCAAAATGCAGAAAGGTGGTCCCATACTCTCCTAGAATTATGACTTTTTGTCAATCATTGTTATTTGTATAGCGCAGATCTAGACAAAATAAAAAATATAAACTTCTCAATGCTTTCAGATACGCCATCACTCTATGGTATTTCGACTCTCAAGAACGGGAGGAGGCGCAAAGACGTTTTAGTAAGTACTTTATATCTATTCTTAAAGTTTCTTTTGAGTGATATATATATACATATATATATATATATATATATATATATATATATATATATATATATATATATATATATATATGGCCGTGTGGTCCGGCCACCCCCACCTTTCCTTTCCCGTGGGTGTCGTAAGAGCGTCTAATGCCTGTACTTGCCAATCCGCCTAACAAGCATGGCAACTTCTATATATATATATATATATATATATATATATATATATATGGCCGTGTGGTCCGGCCACCGCCACCTTTCCTTTCCCGTGGGTGTCGTAAGAGCGTCTAATGCCTGTACTTGCCAATCCGCCTAACAAGCATGGCAACTTCTGGCAACAATTAACAATTGGATGGCGTCCATTGTCTAAGTTGTTAATAGCGTATCATTCGAATAGACAGCACGTGTCAAATAACCAAGAACATATTCGCTCGCTAACCTTGTGTCTAGTGCATTTTCCTCCTTTCAATTAAATATTTAATTGAGGTAAACCCCAACAATATTGCAGTTGAAATACGGCGCAATTGCACTTAGTCACATGTGCTATATATAGGGTTGCCATCCCTCTAGAATTCCCCGGATTTGTCCTAGTTTGAAGGGCGCCAGGGGATAGTCTGCCAGGGGTTTTTGAAAAGTGTCCTTTTGTTGGCAGGGGGAAATCCATATTTTTTATATGTAGGCGACCAATTGAAATAAATCTCAGTTATAAATTCATCCACAATAACCCTGTTTTTTTTTTTTTTTTGTTTTTGTTACAAAAAATATCCTTTTAGAAGTGTCCGGGTACAAACCATATTTCGCCCAAATGTCCGGGGGTTTTGCCGTGTTTATACAGTGTCGACAATTTAGGTGATGGCAGCCCTAGCTATATACTATAATGTTATGTTGGTTGTAGTGGAGATGCTGTAATGCATTACCATTAATATTTACATTATTCATCCTGTTTAGTATTAAAAGCAAGACATATAGTTATAACACAAGCTTCTAATATCTAATTCTAATATTATCCCCTCTTATTATATTTTTATTATTATTATGTCATTCGTTAGTTATCTACTAGTTAGTGCTGAACATACGAGATGTTGCCCGCAGTTGCTACGCTTGGCAGGTGGGTTGACAACTGCAGTTAGACTTTGGTAATGTTTTAAGAGGGACGTTGATGCCCATCCCTCCGCTATTAAGGTCTTTTAGTCGATTTTTTGATGGGTGAAAATGGTATAGTAACTCCACCTGCGCTAACGGGATACGCTGGCAGAGCACCAGTAAAGGGTGATAGATGAGAATGAAAACAGGCCAGTTAACCCATCATGCTGAATTCAACAGGAATTAACCATGATAGTTTCCAGGGAGAACCGCGAGGAGATCGACCTGGTTGGGTATATTGCTAGCAATGGAATTCTCAGTCTCTATTACTAACAATCCCTTACCCCCTCTTTTAGTCGATTAAAAAGGAAGGAGTGGCATTCTAAACCGGGACCACACAACGGTTTTCTGTACAACCATCTCCAATTATACATATAAGCTAATTTATTTACTTTTTATTTTCTAGAAAATAACGCCGTTCCTTCATCGAGCGAGTGATGTCGGACTGTTTCGAGATATACGCCTCAAAAAGGGGATAGTGCTTCACTGTGATCTTTCACTCATTAAGTTCTACTTACCCTTGCATCGTGCACCTATTTCAATCCACTTCAATGAAGAAGTTGCACTATTTAGTCACTTAGAAAAATGACTTTTTACACTTAAGTATAAACAATTGGTTTTTTAGTTAGTTACGCTAAAGTGAGTGTTTCTCAATAACTAAATATCCTTAGTTATAGCCAACCTGGCTGTTTTGTCTAATTAATTATATTTTTTTATATACCCAATAAAAAAAAAATGTTTGATTGTTTTAGGCGGGAACGCATATTTGAAACGATGACAGCTGTCAGATTCTATTGTATGTATTACTCTGTGCTTAAAATTAATGTTTTAAATATATATTTATTGTAAATAATTCTAACAAAACCTTCTTGATTTATTTTTGACGATGGCATGACACTTTTAAATTGACTTAATTTTATTTTGTTTCATTTTGACAGTTCAATACAGTATATATAAGGTAATTAGCCGAATTTGACAGTTATCATCCAATAAATACGGGACTAAGAATCTTAGACTAAATAGAGATAGCAATACAAGAGAGCAGAATTGATGCCAATAAATACCTTTAGTGAAGACATATCTCTATCTCGTTGTTACTGCTAAGAGCGAGTGGGATAGAGAATAAACTGATGCATCCATCTCTACTACACTCTTCCTATCGTCTACTCCTTGCTATTACTATTTGGGTGTAACCGAGATCAATGATGCTGGTTTTTATTGCTTCATTTTCTTATTTGGTTTTTACAACGTCCTCTCTGTTTGTTTGTAAGTTTCTTGAACAATATGGGTTGATGTAAAATTGTGTTAGGTAACTTTGAAAATATTGATTATTGAACAACAAACGATTTTTATAATTCGCTATGAATGTAGTCAACGTTCAAATGATCGCACGAATTGTTGGAAAAATCTATATTTACCATAAATTTTGTAAACACCTTAGTTGATAACTTGTCAATGCAGTTACGGTTGTATAGATGCCTGCTTATTTCTAGTTTGAATAGATTGTCTTGTGATGTATCTCAACATTAGATAGTGAAATTAAGAAAACATAATTATGGATGAATGGAATATCTACCAGGCCATGGCTTTACAAAGAGCATAAAGCATATATCAATCCTTTTTAAACTATCCAAATATGAAATAAAAAAAAATATACAAATTGAGGCGGGAATTTGAATTTAGAATCCTAAGACCGCAGACAAGCGTCGACTGATATAATAATGACTTGACTACATTTTTTATTCATATATTTTTTTTTAATAATAAAGTTACCCAGCATAATACACTTGCTATATATGGTAGACAATTATATTGCGAATATTGTTTTTTTTTTAATACCATAATTTTGCAACTACACCGCTCGTGTAATAGCGAACGGTCGCTTAGTTTGCGTAATAGTCATATGTTTAAGTTAATATTAATAAAATATATAATATTGTAATTGTTACATTTGTAAAGGAGCCTTACAAGTATTATATAAATAATTCGATTGTGTTAACTTTAGTTCCTTAAGGGTCCGCTGATGTTTTGCGTTGTTTATAACACTGTTTAAAAATAATACATACTTTAGATTTTACAATATTTATTTAATGTATAATGACGTCTCCTCTAATAAATATTTACTTTGATATGTTTCTTCTATTCTTTGATAAAACGGCGACTATGCTGATATGAATTGATAAATATTGTAAATATTTCATAGAGATCTTGTTTACTTTTTTTTCTGTTCTTTTTTTTTATTTTAAATTCAATTGTTAATATTCAGATATGTAGTTGCTATATAAATATTTATTTACATATTTATTTCAGTCTTCTCAAATGTTATGTTTGTTTTAATATATTTATTTATTGCAATATCATATCGTGTTTCTACCGTGAAGCAGCTGTTTGCATGGCTGTGTTTCAGTTTGAAGGGTGGGATATGGCGTGAATTTACAGGGTACAGAGGAATAACACCTGAGTCCTCAGGAATGGCAACGCGTGGGGGGTATCATGGGCGAAACAGTATACTCTGTTATGTCCATAGTACTGCTCATGTCTATAGGCGACGGTTACCACTTTCCATCAGGTGGACTGTCAGCTTGTTTGCCATTCTAAGCTGCATAAAAAAAATTATATTGTGCAAACTAGACGTATGCCTTCCTACTGTTTGACCGATCACACCCTTGTCCAATAGTAATATTTATATTATTTATTTTTATTTATTAACTACTTAAGCAGCAATTAACAACAGCGGACGCCAACGTGTGCATGGCTCAAGACTGAATAAGACCTTGCTGCTTGTATATGAGGTTTTTTTTTTATATTTATAAAATTGTATCCAATCCACCAATGTATATAACGAATTATTACATTAACTGTTTAAGATTATTGTGATTTATTGATTATATGTAGTTATACAGGTCAGTCATAAAAGGTATAACAACAAAAAAAGATAATTAAAAACAAAAATTACAATTTGTGCATAAAATTAAAAAGAAAATGTCGCCTGCGGCATATTGTACCTCATCTATTCAATTTCTCTCGTGCTTTATTTTAACGCAGCATGAGCGAAGTGGAATACTTAGTTTAAATATGAAATTAAGTTTAAAAAAATTATAAAAAACATTTATCCACGTTCAACTACAAACGTCATTGATTAATTAGAATATAATTTTTTTTTTAGTGCACTCGTAATTTTTTTTTCTCCATATATCTTTTTTTTTTAATATGAATGAAGTATCTTGATATTTATGAATTAGAATAAGTTTCTTGTGTTGTTGTTGATTTTTTTTATTTAAGGAATATAGTCCACTATATACTCCTTAAAAAAAGCTTAAAAAATACCCTTTTTTTTTGTCTAATCCTGTATAATTTAATCTTTTTGCGATTTGATGTCTTATAATTTGCATTATGAAATATTTTCAAGTCTTGTATCATTGTGTACATACACAATTTAGCTTGATGAGAATATCTACAAATTAAATATAAGAAGATATTTATGGTGGGTGTAAATTGTGTAAAAAAAATACTATAGTATTGAATTTTATACAAATTTTAGATAAATGATTGTATAGATAAGAATTTACCCCTTGATTAAAGTTTTTAATTATAAGTATTTTAATAATTACTTTTGTGATCCATACAGTAAGATGCGGTCAAATAATTGTAGAAACCTTGTGTCGGTATACCTCCTTGTGTATTTGTACAATTTGCTTTCACAACCGAGTTACAACACTTGAAAAGGTTCAAATCTAAATCGTTTCTATTGAGATATTGCATAACAGTCGCATGACTGTAAGATACATTGTCAAGGAATACAATATTAAGCTAATTAAAACTACCTATAAATTCCTCTCCCACCGACTCTAAAGTCGGCGCCAGATGTTTTAACGTGTACTGATGCCTTTATCAGGTAGTGATTATCCTGTATCGCATGTCTCTGTGCCTATACTACCCTGTGTCTGTACTATAGTAAAATCACTTCGACTATTTAGTTTCGGTTTGTGATAAAAATATAATTTAATTCACTAACTTCCTATTTTCTCAACAACAACAAAGAACTATTTCTTCGATTTTTCAACTATACTACTTACAACTAGATACTGTTTCAGTCTTTACACACATGTTCAAATTATACCTTTTTTTTTTAATATTGGCAAAGTGCTGGTGATGTCCATCATGCCAATAACAAACAAGAAACGAGACGGGATATTAAAAAGGAACGGTTAAGGATTTTGGTATTAGTGATAAAGTATTACGTACCTCATAATCTAAGGTTCGAATACTCGTGCCACTCCTTGCGACTTTATGCTCTGTTTTTACATATTTATTTAATCATGTTCTGGCGCCGATTTTAGAACAGTTCTTTCTATGTTGATCCGCATCTCTACTCATTAGGTTTTACATTGCTGTATTCATATCTTTGTTAATATTTAAAAGCCGTGTTTATTGAGAAGTCGACTAATCTATATTTTATGACCAATGCAAATATAAAATAATGTCATTTAATAATTTTGTTTTTATTTAATTATTTGAGCATCAATATTTAGAGGCTTTGTACAAAAGTCGATTGCTTGGGTACCTCTGTCCCATTCGTGTTTCTACCGTGAAGCAGTTGTGTTTGCATGGCTGTGTTTCGCTTTGAAGGGTGGGATATGGCGTGAATTTACAGGGTACAGAGGAATAACACCTGAGTCCTCAGGAATGACAACGCATGGGGGGTATCATGGGCGAAACGGTATACTCTGTTATGTCCATGGTACTGCTCATGTCTATAGGCGATGGTTACCACTTTCCATCAGGTGGGCCGTCAGCTTATTTTCCATTCTAAGTTATATAAAAAAAAGTCTAGTGTACACGCTTGAAACAAGTTTCCATTCCATGCCTCACCTTCCCATATTCGCCTCTCACAACACCTACGGGAAAGGAACGGATGGCCTATTCTATGCCGGGACCGCACGGCCACCATGAAACAGTAGTTTTGCAAAATTATCAAATTAAATTAGTAGTTTGAGAGATAAGTTTAGAAAAATCACACCTCAGAATCGGCCTCATTGTATAGGTATACAATTTTTGCGTCGATGAAAATAGAGAAGAAGCAAGACTATTAGATTTTTTCCGAAGTACTTTTTATATTATTTAGTATAGATACTTACTGCGCCTCTAGCGGATAGTTCCTAAAACTCGGCTTTACATATAAACTTCAACGTACACATGGAAATAATTGTAACTAAAATGAATGTATGTACAACTCGTACTAATCGGTACCATATTTTTTTAATGGGTGATAATGGTTTTTTTTTATGGGTCAAAATGATATGATAACCCCGCCTGCGCTAACGGGAAACCCAGGCGGAGCACCAGTGAAGGGAGATAGATGAGAATGAAAACAGGCCAGTTAGCCCATCATGATAAATTCATCAGGAATTAACCATGATAGTTTCCAGGGAGTACCGCGAGGAGGTCGACCTGGTTGGGTATATTGTTAGCAATGAAACTGTTAGATCCCATTACTAACAATCCCTATCCCCCTGGGTGATAATGGTATGGGGGGGGGGGGGGGTTACAATGCCGGCGCTATCGGTATATCCTATCCTGACGAATTCAACTAGAATTAGACAATGGTTTCCAGGGGGAGCCACGTGGAATTTAACCTAACGGTATATTGCTAGTGATTGGGCTATTTGACCCTATTGCTAACAATCTCTTATTAGGACAATAATTATTATACTCTGTCTATATTTATTTATCAGATCCACATATGGGAAATGTACTGAATGTTCTTATATATCAGGTTCTAAAGATGGGAACAAGCTGCTTAAATGCCTGGAGCTAAAATGAAAGGCAGAAATAAATATTATTTCTTCTCTTTTACTTTTACTCGCTGATAATGTAACTTTCTATAGGTGAAAGAATTATAAAATCAGTTAAGTATATTTTGAACATGTCCACCTCTAAAGAATCAAACCTATATTTAGATGAGATAGATGCCAATTACAGATAAAGCGCCTCTGACTACGCAATCTGACATTTTAATAATATTTTACAGACATTACCATACATATGGTCATTACTTGGTGCCCAGCTCCTTACCCGAAGAAATAATGCATCCAATATTATCAGCAAATAGCGAAAATTTAAAATTCGACTTCAAAATCCTTTTGAAGTGGAATTTTGAAATTATTATATTTAACAAAAAATTACAGTTATTTTTTAATATTGCAAAGAGTGTTGCCCATTATCTCACTAACAAACAGGAAACAAGGCGGAATTTAAAAAAGGAACGCTTAGGAACTAACTTACGAAGAAAAATATTTTACTATTGTCAAAAGATATTATGTATTCAGGAAAGGTATTCGTCACAGGTTATACGGTCATTTTAACAGCTGTCATTGTGTATAATTTTTGTAAAGGAAGCCTTCGGCGCCCTCTTTAAACTTTTTGATAAACGTTTTAGCATTACCACAAAAATGAACGTCTACACTTACCAAAACTTGGACGAATTACAAGGTTTCATATCTTTGGAAAATCCTTCAGAAACTTCAGTAATAGATCCGTATAGGTAAGTAGCAGTGTCCTATGCAAATATATATCAAGTATAAGTCGTAAAACATAAAAACCGTCATTACATTTATACAAGCACACCAAAATTTACCAAAATATTTGTTCTAGTTTGCCGTACTTCCAGACGTTCATGTTTGCATCAGTATTGGAAGACACCATCACCAAACTTCGTATACTGAGTAAGATAAATATTGGAAATAACTGACGCAAATTACGTATTTATTTAAAAAAAACTTTACTCACTTAAAAAAAGGCGAACTTAATGCTAATAAAGATAGACATAGTTAAAGGGGAGGCAGGTGGCCGGCTCATGCCAGCATTTTCTGGTGTTAACATCAGGATTAGGAGCGAAATTTTCAGCTATAGGTAAAGACATGTCTGAGAAAATATATGCACCGTTTTTAAGGAAAGCTCCCCCTCCAATGCTAATAGCAATCCCTAACAGTCACTCAGGGATTAATATCTATTACATAAATTTGTTAAGATCCTTTTGGAGGAGGATTTTGCCAGAAGTTGCCACGCTTGGTAGGGGACTTGGCAACGGCAGTTAGAAATTAGTGGTGTTTTAAGAGGGAAGCTATTACCATTCCTCAAATATTAAGTTTCCTTAGTCGCCTCTTACGACAACCACAGGAAAGGAGGGGGGGGGGGGCTCATTCTGGGGCAAGACCACACGGTGATCAAATCTTTCCTTTATAATATTTGATAGTTTATCCTTTACAAACAAACAATCAAATCCTTCCTCTATACTATTATATGGATGGCCGTATTTTATCGATCTAATAAAACATTGTTCATATCAGATGAATGCAACAACGAGATGCGTATAAGCAAAACAATGGTAGACCTGAATCGTCTTCTCGCCCTCAAGTACAACGTGGAGCAGCCTGCCACCATGGACGAACTTAAAAATGTAAACCCTAAGAAACTGAATTGTATTGAATACAAACTAAATAAATTGGATGCTGACAGGTAAATTTTTTATCTATATTAATTTCTACTAAGTTTTTTAATCTAGATACACGATGCTGCGCTGATAGGTTTTTATTTTTTTTGATAGGTGAAAATGGTATGGTAGCCCCGCCTGCGCTAACGAGATACGCTGGCGGAGCACCAGTGAAGGGTGATAGATGAGAATGAAAACAGGCCAGTTAGCCTATCATGATGAATTCATCAGGAATTAACCATGATAGTTTCCAGGGGGAACTGCGAGGAGGTCGATCTGGTTGGGTGTATTGCTAGCAATGGGATTTTCAGTCTCCATTACTAACAATCCCTTTCCCCCGCGCTGATAGGTTTTGTACCTTAACCCAAAGTGCGAGTCGAGATATTCCGACCTAAACTGTTGAATTGAGGAGAAAGGGATTGTTAATAATGGGGTGAAACCATTGCTAATAATACAAATATACTTTTAGGTATTGCAGGCGTTCATAGGCTATGGTACCCGCAAACCTTCATATGGGCCGTATACTTGTTTGCCACCTCAGTGGTAAAAATACCCTATTAAGTTGACCTCAACACAGTTTCTCCTAGAAACCATCATGATTAATTCTTGGTGAAATAGCAGGATAAACCCATTAACCTGCTTTTATTCTCACCTATCAACACATACTGGTGCCCCGCCAGCATATTCCAATAGCGCAGGCGAAGTTACAATTTAATTATCACTCATTAATAAAAAAGTCTTTGAAATTTTGTACCGAAATCTTTATATTATCCAGTTAACAATTTAACAATATAATCCCAAACTAAGGGGGAAAGGATATGGTTGTTAACAATATTCCCTATCAGAATAAACTCTATGCGTTTTCCGGAAACCATTGTGGTTAATTCCCATGGGCCAACTGTCTTGAGTTCATCCTGATCTATCATTTCTCGATGGTACCTCGTCAGCGTAGATATACTTACAAATAATGTAGGCGGCATGGGTGTATTTAAGGGAAAGAGTGTCATGCCCACCCCGGATATGTCTAGTGCTTGCCCCAAGATGTGAGCGGAGCTCTCAGACATAGCTTTACGCATTGTTGACATGCGTAAAGCTATGTCTGAATAAGCCTTTTTAAAAAGCCAAACCGCTCCTGGAAAATAATCTTGAAACACCACTGCTAGTTGGGGTTAAAATCCCAATTTTCATTGATAAATAAATCCCAAACTAAGCGTAGTTTGTTTTGTGGACAGTAGACGACTGATTACTACCACAGATAATGTTCATAGCCTAGTTTGGTCTCCCATCTGATATAATTTCAACTATATCAACCTATTTTATGTCTTAAAACTATAATATAAGATATTGGAGAAAATAAATTCATTATTATTATAACCAAAAGAAGAAAAAAAACATAGTTACACATAAAAAATAGAAACCACTCAAGTCAATATAAATGTCTTGGATAATACAAACATTTGTATTGTACTGGGATTGATCTTACAAACATCGGAAGGTATTGTCTTCAAATTCCGTTTTACCCCAGAAAATACTTCGGTGACGTGCTGATAGACACATACTTGGACTTGTCTCTGAATAAGAAATATTCGGCGTTAGCGGATCACGTACGACGAATTGTGGATCGCAATGAACACGCAGCGTTCTTGATTCAAGACGAAGCTAAGAACAGACTGTAAGGAAATATTACTTATTATGTAACATTACAATATTACTAACTACTCGTAGCTGTATCCCCTGTACCGGCTTCACCCGCGTGAAGTAACATATGTATACTATATGCTAAGTTAGGATATAACCTACCCGTGTACCAAATTTAATTGAAATCCGTTCAGTAGTTTTTGTGTGATAATAACAAACTTACATCCATCCTTACAAACTTTTGTATTTATAATATTAATCTCTCTCTTCGTCCTCTTCATTACTGAAGGTCGTGTCCTTGAAAGGTGTCTGTTGCCTTTCTTATGATGTTATTCCATTTTGCACGGTCTTCAGCTTCTCGCAGGGCAGCTGCAATTGACAGTCCCGTAACGGCGGTTACTTGGTCCGACCAATGATTAGGCGATCGTCAGCGTGGTCTTTTTCCCTCTATCTTGCCTACAACCATTCGTTTGTCCAGATTGTCGGACTGTCGGAAAATATTAATAGGATTACAATATGAAGACAACAAATCTTCTATGTGGAACCTTTGATAACCATGTACTTGACAAATGCCTACATAAAGGAATAAGGGTCATTTGGACCACTTTTTAAATAGCATAAGCTATACGGAAGACATTATATAAGTGTTGCTGTATAGCTTATCCAACGTTTAACTTTTAATGATTTATCAATAGACTTTAAATAAAGGCCAAAAGAGAAAGGGGCAGACCAAAGAATAACTACATGGGACAGATAAAGGAAACACTAGGTATCATGTTATATAGGGATGTCAAATATATGGCTTGGAATAGAGTTGACTGGAAGAAAATGCATAAATTAGTTGCACCGACAAGAGGAAACTTAAATAAAAAAAAAAAAAAAAGACGAGGAGCGTTAAATTCGATTGTATAACTTAAAGTAACTTACGTGTGTGTATGTTAGACGATTGTGAACCCATTTTATGATCCTTGATTAATGATTTTTATTTAAAAAAAATTAATGATTTTTTTATTATTTTAAAATCTAAGAAGTTAGACAACAACCTGATATACCTTCTACATACAGTACTAATTTTATTTAATAGATTGAAGTAGGTTCTTTTTGGGGGTAATTCTTAAATGTCGATAGATATATTAATTCAATAAGTAATTAGTGTTAAGCACTAAAATAAAATAAAATAATAATAAAATATAACTATAAGGATGTTCGCAGTGTACGACGCGAGTTGAACAAACAGTACCGACAGCAGCGCAATCACAACAAGTCAGTAATGTACGACACCGACGTAGCCATTGAACGGCTCAAGAGTCTGGTCGAAGTACGTAACTATAGTCCCCAAGGGGGAAAGGGATTGTCAGTAATGAGGTCTAACCCATTGCTAGCAATACACCTTATCAGGTCGACCACCACCCGGTTCCACCTGGTAACCATCGGATAATTCTAGTGGAATTCGACACGATGGACTAACAGATCTACTTTCATCGTCACCTATCATCCCTCACTGGTGCCCCGCTAACGTATACCGATAGCGCGAGCGACGTTACTATTCCATTATCATTTATTAAAAAAACTATAGTCTCCATACATTGAATACAGAAAGGAAAAATACATTTACACACCTATGTAACAGTAAATATTGATTTGATATTTGATTGAGAAATTGTAATTAATTTTTTAAGATCTGCTACCGGCAATCATCAATATTTAATTTTTTTTAATACAATTTAGAATGGCAAACAAGCTGACGGCCCACCTGATGGAAAGTGGTAACCGTCGCCTATAGACATGAGCAGTACCATGGACATAACAGAGTATACTGTTTCGCCTATGATACCCCCCATGCGTTGCCATTCCTGAGGACTCAGGTGTTATTCCTTTGTACCCAGTAAATTCACGCCATACCCCACCCTTCAAACCGAAACACAGCTATACAAACACAACTGCTTCACGGTTGAAACACGAATGGGACAAAGGTACCCAAGCAATCGACTTTTGTACATTCATTCATTCATTCTGTAGATGAAGTAGAAATATAATACAATCAGTAGGTAGTAGTAGTAAACATAGAATGGGCCATCCCTTTCTTCCCCGTAGGTGTCGTAAGAGGCGACTAAGGGAACATAATTGTTGAGGTATGTGCAGCAACGTCTCTCTTAAAACTTCACCAAGGCTTAAGTGCAGTTGCCAACTTTGCCAAGGGTGGCAACAACTGGCAATACTCTCCTTATGAGGAAATATCCTGTATTCAGCACTGGACAGTAAATGTCTGATATAATAATAACTAAGCACGGTATTGATGATGCAAAAACTTGACGTGTGACTTGCGTGCTCGCGGGTTACATACAGCGCTTATTTTTTTTAGTAGTCACTCATTCTCAATTACACCTTCTCATTTTTGCCGCTTTGAGCATTTGTTAGAATGCCAACCCTAGGCCCTTATAGTCAGGTACTAGAAAACCATACTGAAAATAAACCGAGATCAACCATATTTTTTATGTAATTTAGAATGGCAAACGCATTATCACTTTACGCAAACTCCTTGTGTAAAATGGTAAATTTCACCTATTGACATGAACAGTACCATGGATGGCACAAAATATACTGTGACGTTCTACTACCAAGATATCCACAATGCAGGATGCAGCCCTGAACGCTGAGGTCCGCAAACGGTATGTAGAAAACTGGCAGAACGCGCGGACAGAGCAGCACCACCAGACCATCAGAGACAAGGAGTTTGGATCCTCAGAAACCATAGAGTACTATAAACAGAAGACAGACCACGAACAAAGAGTCCACACAGAAGTGGAACTACTCATGAATATTACTGTAAATGTGGGTTAATCATAAACCGTTTTTAATACTAGCAGTTAGGGTTATTTTTAATAGGTGATAATGGAATGGTAACCCCGCCTGCACTATCGGTATACGCTGACGAGGTACCAGTGAGGGATGATAGGTGAGAAGGAAAAGATAGGTTAGTTAGCCCATCAAGATGAATAGATCTGGAATTTAGCACGATGGTTTCCAGGGGGACCATGTGGAGGTCGACCTGACAGGGTATGCTGTTAGTAATAAGACTAGTACGCATTACTAACAATCCCCCTACCTACAAAAACAGTGTGGGTGTCGTGGCTCAGTGGTGTGCTACTCCGACTTATAAACCGTAAAAGTCCTGAGTACAAATCTAGCCAGTACCAAAAATTACCAGAATTTCTTTAATTCATATATTTATTGTCTGGGTCGTCTTTTGTAAGTCTTCACATTAATCATTTGCTGTATTTCTTATTTTTGTAGCTAGTGAAATAAAGTAAAAATAAATAGATTTAGAAACGACAAATTCTGCAGTAATAGAAAACACCAACAAATAGGAAATTGGGATTGCGAAAGGGATTGTTAGTAATGGGATTAAATAGCAACGTTAGTAGCAATATACCCTGTCAGGTCGACGTACACGTGGTTCCTCCTGGAATCCATTATGTTTAATTCTAGTCGAATTCGTCAGGATAGGCTAACTGGCCTGCATTCATCCTCATCTGTCATCTTTCAATGGTGCCCCGCCGGTGTGAACCGATAGCACAGGCGGGGTTACCAATCCATTATCATTTATTAAAAAAACACCAACAAATTAATTCGACTAACAATAGCAGTAGTCTGCTGTATCAAATTGCAGCTTAAGTTTGTAACAAATAAACACATGTGTGGGCCAGAAATATAAGTAAGAAAACAGTGGAACAAATAAAATATAAAAAACAATAGTACTAAACGTTATAATCCCCTTACGGTAAAAGGCCTGTTGTATTGGATTGTACAATACTTGGTGAAATTGCTCTTATTTTATTGCTTATAATGGGGCCACTAAACTCTATTACCAACAATCTTCTCCCTAGTCCGCCCCTCCCCCCCTCCTAGCAGAATATTTTTTTAATTAAATTAGAATGATAACGCTTCCTCCCAACGTATAGTGATGTATACGCTAGCAGAGTACTCGCAATTGATGACAGATAAGGATTAAGTCAAATCAGATGGATATTCGTGAGGAATTACCCATAATGGTTCTTGCTGGATGTTAATGGAACGGTAACATGCTGACGGGCACCAGTGAGTGGTGTTAGGTGATGAAACCAGGTCAGTTAATCCATTGTGACGGCTTCAACAAGAATAATTAATTCTTGTTTCAAGATGGTTTCCTAGGAGAACCGCGTGGAGGTCAACCTGACAGAATTTATTGTTAGCAATGGGATTGTTAGTTATGGGACTGGTAGCCCGCATAACTAATAATCCCTTCCCGCCCTAACCATGTTTTTCAAGGGGGACAGAGTGTAGATCGACCTAGGTCAATGGAGCGCCCTGTGGAAATATCTGCCAAATAACAATATTATTTGACTTAAGTAATCTCAATTAATATTTTTTAGGAAACATTGCAAAAAGTCGAAAGCTGGATGAATAAATACGACAAGGATATGGAAGCGATAGACCTCAGAATTCAAATAATGAAAAACAATCATAAGAACGCCTACGAGAAACGAATTCAACTTGAAGAAACGGTAATGTAATAGTGTTGTACTGTTATCCGAAAATATCGATTATCAGATGTAATCGAGTTTTGCGCCTATTTTATTATTTTGATTTTCGCATACCATGGTTTATAATACATAAGTGACAGGAATCAAGGCGACCGTTTTAACTTCTCTTCTACTTATAAGCAAGTGTATCCTGGTCAATACATCGGGACAACACAGATAAATTATTATAGGTTACCCAAATGATTGCATGAATAAAAACCCATCTCTTATAGATTATTTGTACCTGTATAATCTATGCTCAATGGGCGTATCAATTAAAATTAATAATAATGTATTAATTAGTTTAGTACCGCTTCTGAGTTGACCACACGCTCATAATTTATCCTGATCCCTAATCAGGGTAAATTATCAGCGTGGGGTGAGAAGGGATTCTTAAGAGGATAATGGGGATTAGCAACGTCATTGCTAATAATACGTCCTATTAAATCTAATTACATGTTGGTCTCCATGCTGAAAACCATAGTAATTGATTTATTGTTAAATTCGTCATGATGATTTTGATTCCTCACATTAACGCGATATACTAATTGAGTTTATTTAATCAGTGTGAAAGATTACCATTCCGTTATCATTCATTAAAAAAAACATATTAATTGATATAATTAATAATGAAATAGTATGTAACATAACCAAGAAAAAGTCCCATTAATAATAATGTGAACATTCTTATAATTCTACGCAATCAATGTGTCAATATATAGGTAATTATTAGTATAAAGAAATTTTTTTCCTCACAGTTAGAGGAACATGTAAAATTAATGAAGAACTGGATACATTTCAAAGAAGACCGCGAAAAGGCTCGTCTTTATCGTGAGAAGATGGACAATGCTGCTGTAACTGTGCAAGCATGGTGGCGCGGCCTTCTTGTACGCAATCAACTGGGACCTTACAAGCCTTTACCTAAGAAAAAGGGTGCATCCGTTCCCAGTGGAAAAAAGAAAAAATAATTTATTTATTTACTTATTAATTATTATTAATTTATAAATTTTTAATTCATTTTTGTAATACTTTGTGTTCGTAGTTTCAAATATGTTAAAAATTAAATACAGCTTTTTTACTGTTTCCACAATAAATATAAAATATGACATTGTTTTTACTTACTTACTTGTAAAATGTAAATAATAATTGTATTAATAATACAAAATTGAAAAACAAATAATAATAATATTTTAAACGTAATACTGTAATTGTTTCCTTATTATAATCCTTTCTTTGTCCTTAAAATATCTAACTATTTGTAGCTAAAATATCAAAACTAAAAGTTTTCGAGCATTAAAAAAAATATATTTAGGCTTGTAATGTTTTGAACACGTTCGTTGTTTATTCTATATCTACGTAGGTACTAAATATAATTTATCTTAAGTAGAGATTATTCAAGTCTACAACTTAAGAGATAATATCTATTACATTTTATGATTAAAATATAAAAAGAAATACACAAAAAAATACTAGATAAAATCTGATAATTCTAAGCAAGTATATAGATACAATACACTTTTTACTACAATTACCCTTAAATATAAAATCAATTACTATGTATAAATCAAAGTATGAAGTTCGATATTTTATTCTCTCAGCGTACTTTGAAGGAGACAGCGTAAAGATATATAAATTATTATTCTTACTTTATAACAAAAAGAAAAATTTTGGACAAAAAGGTAATACGTACATATAATCCTTTAACAGCGTCATTGAAACTTTTGGTTTATAATTACTTTAAGCAGAATTTAAGAGAACTAGGATAAAAGGTACTGTTAATGGTGATATGGCTCGCAACAGGGTACTAAGCGTAGTAAAGGATACATGGAATCATGGAATAATATACACTAATAAACCTGATGAAGAAAATGTGTCGCAGATCATATACGTATGTATGTATTCCTGTATGTGTGTTGTTCACTTTCATTGGGACTAGTGACCGAAGGAAATGGTATAAAGGCTCTATCGTGGCAAGCTACCGTGATTAAAGTTTTATCCTAATTAATATTTATTTGGATTAAATTAAACCCCTTTTGAAACATCACTAAAGCTAGTGATGTTTTAAGAGGGGTTCTGCTTGGGATCCCTTGACAATTTAGTTCCGTTAGTCGCCTCCTACAACACTCATGGGAAAGGAAGAATAGCCCATTCTATGCCGGGACCTCACACCAATATATAATTGCAATAAAATACTAAGAAACAGTTCGACAATATACCTATCTTATGTACATATTGAATGATTTATCATCTTCATACAATAAAGATAAGCCTTTTCTCGTCATTTTTGGAATGTCTAGTTCTTCATTAATTTACTGTACTTGCTAGGTAAAGCTTTACACCATACTGGTTGAAATGTATATTAAATGACATAGTATTATTTATCACTTCACTTTAAAGAAGCAATAAAACTTGGTGATTTGCGTGCAGATAGATATTTTTTTACGATTTACAACACCTTTTTAAATCTTTTAAAAATAATTACATCGTATTAATGATAAAATTTATAATCTCCTATACTGTGAGCATTTATATGTTTTTACAAAATAAAAGTCGATTCTTATTTTTTTAGGAATTAAATGTAGTCACTTCAAATATACCAGACAATATAGAAGAAGAAAATACATTTTGTGAAGAAAGTGTGGATATAAATGTAAAAAAGATCAACAGTCTGATAGGTATTATTTCAATAGCTTAATGAATCATTGTTCTTTTGTAGGAGTGTTCTTCAGTTTGTAATTTCAATTAATGTGAAAAAATAATATACTTAGAGCGATATATTTAAAAGTAGGTATATTTTGATCGATTTCTTTCATTTGAATTATTTAACGTTCAGATAATGTTCAAAATTACATATTTTTAAAAATATATATCGGTAAGTTCTCTATTAATTATAAACATATACCTAACTATTGTCGTTAAAAGTCATAAATATTTGACGATATTTTACAGTCTTCTACGTTAGCGACGATTTTGGAAGATACTATAATAGAGCTGCGTATTCTCGGTAAAAAATAATTCAAACATGTTTCTTAAAAATGTATTTCATTTATTAATTTTTCTGTATCATAACATAGCGGAATGTAATAATGAATTACGTATACACAAAACGTTTATAGATATGTCACTGCTGCGAGTATTAAAATTCAACGTAAAACAGCCAGAAATAACTGATTAGCTTGACAGAATAGATCATCAAAATCTGGGTAGTACAGAATATAAGCTGAAGAAACTCAATGCTGATAGGTGAGACCAAAATATTATTATAATTACCGTTTAAAGTAAGATACTGGGCCTCATGAGTTTTGTCGATATAATAATGGAACGAAATAACCATACGATACTTTTGCATGAAGACGAAGCTAAAAACAAATTGTTAGTAATTATTTTATTTATTATTCAAATATAATGCTAAGTCTACTTTTTTAATTCATTTCAAATTGAATATGATTTTTTAAAAACATTGTTTTTTATAATTCCAATATTAATTTGATAATTATCATGGCTCACGGCTCTAATTCCTAATAGGCTAGCGCAGTGTTTTTCAATCTTTTTCATGACGCGACCCCTTTATTATGTAAAAATATCCTGCTACCCCATACCCTCCACGGTTTTGAATGTGTATGAATTTTATTATAGTACAATTATGAAATACGAACAATTGTGTTTATATTCACACTTAGGTATCGATAAAATAAAATAAATAATACATAATAAAGTATCTAAAACAGACATGTAATCGATGTCTATTATAGATATTTCATTATGTATTATTGATTGATTGATGTATTTACAGAACTGTTGATTTTTCACTGATTAGAGCCCTTATGCGACCCCCTTGTTGAGGCTCGGAAACACCCCAAGGGGTCGTAACCCATACTTTGAAAAACACTGAGCTAGCGAAAGACATTTATCGATTGTTACAGATGTGATGACCGTAATACTACGTGCACTCTAGATTTCGTTAAGCATATTAGAATCCAATATAATAGGGAGGTTCCTATCATTGTTACTAGCATAAGTTTGATTTATTAACAGTGTCATCACCGGAAAGTTAGAAATTAAAGTTGAAAAGAGTTTTATTAACCCTTTTCAAGTCAGGACACTAGATTACTAAGTTGTGCTTTGTAATTAATATTTTTTCCTTTAGTTAAATTATTATTGTGTCATGATCTTTGTATCGTTTTTAGTGACATATTACATCGATAAGTCCGTCCGATATTTCGTCGAGAAACCCTGCTTTCCTGTATTTTTTTTTAGAAATTTAGTCTTAATTTTGTCGTTCTTCCTTAAAATAATTGTTTTCTTAAGTTTTTTTATACAGCTTAGAATGTGAAATAAGTTAACAACCCACCTGATGAAAAGTGGTAACAATAATAAATAAGTATAAAATTGTGTTTCCATTGTTTAGTCATTATTTTATTTTAGAGATTTGAGATTTAAGCAAACAATTAAGACAACAACGAAATCACATTAAATCGGTCATATATATATATATATATATATATATATATATATATATATATATATATATATATATATATATATATATATATATATATATATATATATATATATATATATATATATATATATATATATATATATATATATATATATATAGCCACTTTATAAAACATGTAAAAGTAGTTATCAGAATACGTACTTGTACCTAAATTTTAATTTCACTACAGGAAACTCTTCAGAAAGTAGAAAAATGGATGAATAAATATGACAACGATATGGAGACAATTGACTTTAAGATTCAGATTTAAAAGAATGTTTATCAAAACATGCTTGAGAAGAGGCTGGATCTTGAAACTACCTTGAAGGTTATCATTGAATTTAAAACCTACACGGCTTTATCAATTTGAACAATTTTGTTTATTTATCTTTTTCTATTGCAGATTGAAAAACATGATACATTGATGAAAGAATGGATTCATTTCAAAGAGGAACACGAAAAAGCACGGCGGTATCGTGATAAGATGACTAAATCCGCAATAACAGCACAAGCGTGGTGGCGTGGCTTGCTCGTACGTCGTCAACAACAAGTTATTAAAAAGAAGAGTGTTGTTGGACCGGCTGCCAAGAAGAAATAATTTATAAACCTTTACTGTTATTTCTATATTATGCTTTTAATAGATGGATTATTTATATTATTTATAATTTAAATTATTTAAATATGTTACTCTTGCATATTTATACCTCATTTATTTTATTTAGATATTCTACAGCGTTATTTTTTTCAATAGATTTACCCTATATACTTCATAACTCTGCTACGTCTGTTTTATGGCTTTGGACATAGATTTTATTTTTATCATCATAATTTCAGCTTTAATATCTTCACTAAAGCTTATATCATGTCCGATCCTCCACATTTCTACTGTCTTTAATAAATGAAAATGTTTAGTTATTGGTTTATGATGTATACCAATGATATATGATTAATAAAAATTATTGGCTCGACGTGAAGTTATGACATTTACCCAGAATTAACCATTACGATTTCCAGGATGATTGCGTAGAAGTTGGTTTGTTAGATGAATGCTTATTAATAGAAGGGATTGTTAGTAAAAGGGGGATTAATTGCTAGCAATATACCCTATCGAGTCAACCTACATGCGGTCTCCCTGAAAATCATCGTGTATAGTTCTTGATTAATTCGGCATAATGGGTTAATTAACCTGACTTCGTCCTTTTTATGTCATTATTCAATACTACTACTTACTATTTCCCCTTTAGTGTATACCAATAATACAGATTACCATTTAATTTTCAACCTATAAATAAGACCCCCTATTATTCAGTCTTCGATATGAATCATAATGTTTTGCCTCCATAGGACTCAAACATTTAGCATACCACAACAGATACAAAGATAGACATACATCACATATGTTAGTTAAAAGATACTGAAGGGTACTGTAAAAAACTGTGCATGTCATATTAGATAATTACCATTTCAACCGTTAACTGACTAATGTTGAACATAAACTTACCCCTTG